ATAGTGAGGGTCTTTAATAAACCTCAACAGGTTCCTATCTGTCTGTCTGTCTCTCTTTTATCTAGGCCCTTTGTGAGATACACATTCTTCTGCTTAGTTCCTCCACCCGTATTCATTTTTTGGGCCAAGATTTCTTAGAAAATATTCATACTGGAATTTTCCTCCCAAAAGGAGGAAATAATTATGGAATTTGATAGTAGTAACCTAAATAGTCAACCAGGAAAATTAAATAACTCTTTGATAGCTCTTATTTGCTCTTGTTTCTGATATCACTGTAGCTGAGTCTGGAGACAGTAATCATTTATTCTTATTGGATCAGCTACCATCCTCTTTATGGGTAAACTCTTCAAATTATATTGCAGAATCCACAGTGCATTTCCCAGCAAGATTCAAATCCATCAGAACTTCTCCTCAGAATTAATAAAGCTTTACTAATCAATTTTAAATAATAAATTAACCTATATATAAAGAAGCCCTCTAAGGCATCAGTCCCATAATATGAGATTGCAAGGCTCAGGGCCTCATTATCGCCTGCACTAGTCCCTATAATACCCCTATTTTACTTGTGAGAGAACCCAATGGCAGAGGATGGGGGTTTGTCCAGGACCTCTGAACAATAAATAATATTTTTATACCTTGGCACCCTGGACAGTAATGCCCCAGGGTTACACCCAGTTTTTTCCTTTCACAAAACTCAAAAGCTATTTGGGTGATAGAAAGTTTTCTGCAGGCTCTATTTGTTATAATACATAGATGATTTGCTTTTCTGCTCCCCTTCTCAAACCTCTTCACAGGAAGACTGCATCCGCCTGTTAAAACTTCTGGCCTTAAAGGGGCAGAAAGACTCCAAAGAAAATATGCAGTTTGCTCAAACTCAGGTTTGATACTTAGAGTATCTGATCTCAGAACAAGAACTACATTTGGATCCAGGTAGGCTTTATGGCATCCTGAACTTGCCAAAACCTAAAACTAAGTGCCATTTGTGAAGTTTTCTTGGACTGGCTGTCTATTGTTGAAATTGAATTCGAAACTTCTCTCTTAAGGCTCAACTTCCATATGTTTTATTTAAAAATGACCCTATTTGGAAAGATCATGATGACATAGATTTGGGGACCTTAAAGAAAAACGTAATAAAACTCTTTGTCCTCAGACATCCTAATTATCAACTTCCCCTTTTCCTCATTGTATGTGAGGGGGAAGGGAATGCCCTTGGAGTACTCACCTAAAAATAGGGGAACATCATCAACCAATAGGGCATTATAACCAACAATTGGACCATTTAGCATGGGGATAACCCCCTTTCCTTAGAGTCATTCCTGCCACTGCCCTTTTGGTTGAAGCCACTCTGGAGAAATAATCACAGGATCCTCTTTAACCATCCTGTGTCCCATGTAGCAGAAGCCCCCCCGCCTCCCAATTTTCATTACACTTAAGTCAGTTGCCTTGCCTCCTAGGACATCATCCTGCTAACTGCTCCTCATAACTCTTCTTGCTATAGTAACCTTAGCTCTGCTATTATCCTCTCCTTCATGGATGAAATCCCTCATGACTGCTTAATGCTGACATAACTTTTGACTCCCTTTGACAATTTGTAGGAAACTCCTCTAACCAATGCAGATTTTTCATGGTTTAATAATGGTTCGTATTTAAAGGATGAAAATGGTAAATATTGTGTTGGGTATGTTATCCCAACTCCTTTGGAAGTCATTGAGTCCATACCTTTACCTGTGGCTATTTTGGCCTAGCAGGTTTAGTTATATGCCATACTTGGCTTGTACCTTAGCCAGATGTACAAACATTTACATCAATAGTCAGTTTGCCTTTGGAGTAGCTCATGACTTTAGAAGTGTTATAGAAACAATGAAGTTTCTTTACCTACAATGGGAATAAAATAAAAAATGGCTCCAATGTCCCAAATTTATTAGATGCCATACTTTTGCAGGCAGGCCTGGCTATTACTAAGCTTCCTGGGCCTTCCAGACTCAACTTCTAGAGTCCAAAGGAAACCACCTCACTGAGATTTCCAACAAAATGCTGTTCTCAAGGAAACCAAGACCCAAACCTGTCATGGCTGAAAGGGATGTTCTCTCAAATGATGAACTGGAAAAAATGACAAGAGTTATCCAATAATTGTTTACTATTTTACCATAATTAAACCATTGACCTATGACAAAATAATAGTCTTTGGGAATGTAGGTGGGGAAATATAAAGGCTGCAAAAAGTGCCTACCTTTCTTGTCCCACCTGTCCAAAGTATCCAAAAAAGCCTGTTCACGCAAATGGACTTCATACAGCTACCCTGTCTCATGGAAATAAGTATGTTTCAATTAATTTGGTCTGTTTTCTCAGGGGACCAAAGCTTTTTCCTTGTAGACAGACCAATGCTTATTCTGTGGCTTAAATGCTGCTAGAAAAGATTATCCCTGGGGTGCCTGGGTGGCTCAGTCAGTTAAGCTCTGCCTTTGGCTCAGGTCATGATCCCAGGGTCCTGGGATCAAGCCCCATGTTGCTCTCCCTGCTTAGAGGGGAGGCAGATTCTCCCTCTCCCCCTGCCCCTCCCCTGCTTGTGCTCTCTCTGTCTCTCTCAAATAAATAAATAAAATCTTAAAAAAAAAAAAACAAAAACAGAAAAGATTATCCCTCCCTGGGGAACCCCTCTTGAACTTCATAGTGCTTGGGGAACTCATTTTACCAGGCAGGTGTTTCAACAAGTCTGTGCTGTTTGGCCAGTTTTACAACTTTCATTGTGCATACCATCGTCAATCCTCAGGGATAGTTAGTTGCACTAACAGCACTGACGAAATTTTTACAGACCCTCCAAATACCTTGGCTGAAAGCATTGCTGTTGGTCTTCTAAATTTTAGATCCACTCTCTTTGGGATTCCTAGACTCTCATCCTTTGAGATGGTCACAGGATGTCCTAAGTGCTTGGCCCCTGCCTTCTCTGACTCAGAGTTGATAGAAGGGGATCTACTTTAACATTGTAAAGGCCTAGGTGCTTCTACTGAAAATAACCGTGCTTGGTAGAGCAATCTTTTCACTATGTACTCAAGTACATGGGAGACAGACTTCAAGTACTCTGCAACCTGGAGATTTCATCTATTGGAATAGACCCTTCCAGAGAGACTCAACCTCACTGGAAAGGCCCTTATCAGGAACTGCTAACCAACCCTTGGACCACCAACCTCAAGGAATAGATTCTTGGGTTCACATGACACATTAAAGAAAGCTGCAAACCCTGACTGGGTCTGCACACCAGCTGGTGACCTGAAAGTGAAGATTTCCTGGAATTGAAGCAGATGACATCTAATGAGACCACTTTCTCACGATGTCTGGACCAGGACTGTATCCCTTTTTCTCACTGTTCACTGCTGCTTTCTCTTTTATGGAAAGAAAATGCTCTGTATTTCCCAAACTCTTGCAAAAGGGGGAAACGTCCTCTTTTGACTATGGCCTTTTGGAAACAACCTTTGCATGATCCTGTGAGATTTCTCTGAAGGGTGAGAAGGTCAGAATTCATAGAAGTCTTTCATCTGAACTACGACCTGACTCCTGAGTCTTACCTAAATTCATGGTTTCTGAATTTACAACTTTACATTGATATTATTGATAACACATTTGCTTCCAAGCCGTTCTTTTGAGATAATACCATTTTAAAACATCTTTGAAGTGTTGCTGTTTTGCAACAAGTTCATCAGCTACTGCTTCATGTTTATAACTGTACTGTATCTTCCCAAATGTACTCCGCTAATTCTTTCCATGTGATCTTGCTCATCTTTTATGGTTGCTTAAAGGGGAGACTTCCAGGAAACATACATGACTGAAGGCTTGTTTTCATAAGGAGAACCTTTCTGCCCTAAGTTGGAATAAGTGCAAATAAACGTGTTAGTTGGGTACTTTCTGACCTAGGGTCCCAGTTGACCTCTATTCTACAACAATTTGAAATTGTCATGCTTTGTATAATTATTTCAGGTGTTGTATTTTGTTCCGTGTCAAACTTTTGTGAAAACAATGTACTCAGAAAGGTGATGCCGGTGATTCTCTCTCCAAACCTTCCCTGTAACTGTAATGTGGCCTTAAGTGGAACATGGGACATGACAACTAGGAAAGGTCCTTCCTGGACAAAAGGGACAAAACCACAAAGTATGGAAAACCTGACTCTTGATCAGTGATGCTTTTGAGGAAATGTCTTGATCAAAGGGAGGAAATGTAAATATTAATAAAGGTAAACTTCACTAAAATGGAGTGGGGAAGCCGGAAGAAGGAAGTTCCCTCATCCTACCACTCACCACCAACTGCAGATGCCAACAGGAAGAGATAGATATACCTTGCAAGTAGGTACCGTCTTACTCCCCAGCAGGAGGAAGAAAGGTTTTCTCCTCCCCCAGCAACAGCTCAGCCAAAGAGAGACTGTCATAACTGAGCTAAGGAAAGGCCACTATACTTTAAACTCCTAGGTTACTCCAATGGACTTTATATTGACAACAGCCCTATCAAATACCCCCAGCTTTCAGCTCTGAAGGACCAACCCTCTCCTTTGTTCTCACCCTTGCCTGTGGTTCTGCTGTAGCGTGCATGTTTGGAATTGTAATTTTCTGCTATTCTTGATCCATTTTGTTGGTAAAACAACATAGTTTTATTTTTAAGGTTAACAGTTGAGTTCTTTCAGAAACCATTAAGGACATTTTTCCTTAGCCACCCCCTCCCCATTCCCCACAGCAGACTGTCCTGGTTACTGCAGAATCAACATTATAGGAGTTGCCTGCCAACAGGAAGGCTCGGTCTCCTCCCCTTGCCGGACTTCCTTTTCCCCCTTAAGGCCCCCTGAGAACCGGAGGGGGCGGGAGTTGTTTGCTGCGGGAGGGCCGGGGTGGCAGCCCGGCTTTGCAGGAAGCCTGCGGGTGGGCCAGCGCTCACCGCCTCCCCTGGTGTGCTCTCTGTTGGTCTGCAGGCTAGAGGCTGGCTTTTTCCGGAGTCCTAAGCTTTGTCCCCAGGGAGCCATGGCGAAGTCCAGGGGCCGTCTCTACTTTTGGATGTACTTGGCTGCCGCGCTGGCATCTTTCCTGGCAGGATTTATGGTGGGTAAGTATGAACCCCTTCTCCCCAGTGCAGGGCTGGTGCTTCTCCCTGCCAGGCTGGGGAGGAATGAGAGAAAGCAAGCCTAGAGGCTGTGCGGCTCCCTGAGCTCCCTGCATGTGGCCAATTCCGTGAATTTCAGCCCAACTGGAAACCGAATGGAATGTCTTTTGACTTTCTTAATGAAGTGTGACTGAAATTCAGGTTTATTAAAGGTTCAACGAGCTCAAGATACTTTTCAAGAGCTGTTAGGTCAGAGCTGTCATTCTCCACAGGCATGAAAAAGGTTGTTTCATTTGTCAAAACTAGCAACTAATATGGACAGCACTGCAAAAACTGCCCTTCTTTCATCGTTTACTAAATAAATATTTGTGGAATGTTTCTTGTGTGTCAGGCGCTGTGCTACGAACTAGATCACCCCAAGGAGAACAAGAAAGATAGAGGCCCATGCCTTGATGCGTAACATGTAGGAAAATGAAAAGAATATCTCGTAAAACTAGTTTTAACCAACTCAAAATTACACTGCATAGCAGAATTTGAAGGACTTCTGCATTTAATATGAACATTTTTGTAAAGCTCACTTTGAGCTATTTCTGAAATAAGGACATTTTTTTGGCTTCTAATTTTTGTAAAAGTCAAAAGCAATTATATACATATATGGTAAGTGTAGGTATATGTATTCTCTCCTGTAGGCTGGTTTGTTAAGCCTTTGAAAGAAACAACCACTTCACCGCCCTATCATCAAAGTATACGGTGGAAACTCATATCTGAGATGAAAGCTGAAAATATTAAATCATTTCTTCGGTAAGTTTGTTTTGATGTTTGGTCTTAAAAGTGTTGAAAATATTGCAGAGTGAGAAGTGTATTACAACTGGTTATATTCAGATGGGTAATCGTTGTGTGAAATTATATGATCTCACATTAATTTATGGTAGTTTTAATGTCCCTTTAAACCACTCAGCGTAAAATGTATTTGAATGTTGCAGGAGTGGGTCTTTCTTCTCTAACTTAATTTACAGAAAAAGTATCTGGTTGCTTTATTAAGAGATGTTTCAACTTCATGTAACTTTAGACTTCAACTGAATGTTATTTCTTCCTTGTGCCTGGGTTTAATCAGCAATTTTATTTGAAGGTCACGTTCTGTCAGGAAGTCTTAGATGGTTGTAAACTCAGATTTAAAGGAGGAGAGATTAAAGTTTCAGACTCTCTGCCACAAATTAAACTTTTGTCCCACATTGCAAATATCAGTAACAGAAACTGGACAAAATAAGAGCAAAAGGATCAGTGCAAATCCACCAGCCTCTAAGTGTGAAAAATCATGACATTCAGGGAAATGATAATGAACTCTGTGAAGGCAGTCACCATATGTGTTTCTATATTCAGACTCTCTCAAAGGAGTGTCATTAAAATAAACAAAAACAACAAAAAACCCAACCAGCTTTACTGAAGTATAGTTTACATAAAATGAACTGCATCTTTTAAAGCCTAAAATTTGATAGTATTGACGGATGTATAATAGATCAACAAGATACAGAAATTTTACATCATGCCCTCTGCAGTTTATTCCTATCTTCACCTTTAGCCCTATACAGTGACCCATCAGTTTTAGGTCACTGAGTTCCCTTGCATTTCTGAGAATTTTATATAAATGGAATCATACAGTATGTACACTTCTGTGTCTTTCTTCTTTCATTCAGCATAATAATTTTGGAATTCATCTAGGTTGTTGCACATACCAGTTTATTGTTTTTTATTGCTGAGTTGTATTCCATTGTATGAATATCTTGTAATGTGTAGTTGTTGGACGGCTTGGGTTGTTTCTAGTTTTTGATTATTAACAAAGCTGCTATAAACGTGTGTTTACAAGTTTTTGTGTGGACATATATTTTCATTTCTATTGGAATGGCTGTATTGGATGATAAGCATATGTTTAACTTTTTAAGAAAATAGATTTCAAAAGTGGGATCATTTTTACATTCCTACCCATTATGCATGACTGTACCAGCTGTTGTACGTCCTGGTAAACACTTAGTTTTGTCTGTTGTGTTAATTTTAACTATGCTAACGAGTATATAGTGGTATCTTATTGTGGTTTCAATTTGCCTCTTCCTTATAATGAGTTAAACATTATGTGTATTGGACATTTGCATATTTTCTTTCATAAAGCATCTGTTCACATATTTTCCTATTTTAAACTGTTTTGTTTTCTTATTGAATTGTAGGAGTTCTTTATGTATTCTGGGTACAATTCCTTTGTCAGACATGTATTGTGAATATTGTCTTCTGTTCTATGGCTGGCCTTTTTTTGTTAGTGGAGTTTTTGAAAGGCAGAAATTTTTAATTTTGGTAAAGTCTAGTTGACCAGTTTTTGGTTTTCTGTTTCATATTCTGTGTTCTATCTAACTTTGCCTATTAGAAGTATGAAGATTTTCTTCTATGTTTTCTTTTAGAAGTTTTATAACTGTAGCTTGTATATTTAGGTCAGTGGTCACTTCAAGTTAATTTTTGTGTATGGTATGATGTAAGAGTTGATTATTTTTTAAATACAAGTTCAATTATTCCTGCAACATTTGTTTTAAAAACATTTATTTCCACATTGAATTGCCTTGGCATCTTTGTCCAAAATTACTTGACCATATATGTGTGGCCTGGTTTTGGATTTTTACATTTTCTTTTATTGATCTGTAGATCTCAACACTACACTCTGCTAGTTAGTGTAACTTAATAATAAGTCTGAGAATCAGGTAGAGTTAATCCTACAAATTTTTCTTCTTAAAAATTGCTTTGACTATTAAGCCATTTGCATTTCCAAGTTTAGAATAACCTTCTGAATTCCTACAAAAAAACTGGAATTTTTATTAAAGTTGCATCGACTCTATAGATGAATTTGGAAGAGAAGTGACATCTTTAAAATATGGAGTCTCTCAGTCTCTTTTTTTCATTTGTCATAAGGAGGTATTATAGTTTAACTTTGCACCCATGGAGGGGCATTTATGATCAGTTTTTGGATAATGATTAATGTTGCTATTAACATTTGTATGCAGGTTTTACATGATCATAGGTTTTCATTTCTCTGGCATAAATGCCCAAGGGTAAAAATTGCTAAGTTGTATGGTAAATACATTTTTAGTTTTAGAAGAATTTGCTGAACTGCTTTCCAGTATAGCTGTATTATTTAATGTTTTCCATTGACATTATCATTATTTTTAATTTTACCCATTCTGATAGGTGCATAGCGATACCTCATTGTGATTTTAAACTGCAATCCCCTAATGATTAATGATATTGAACATCTTTTTATGTGCTTATTCATCATTTGTACTCTCTTCAGTGAAATGTCTGTTCATGTCTTTGACCTATTTTCTATTTGGATAGTTTTGTTTGTTTTTTGGTTTTTTGCTATTGGGCTTTGAGAGTTCTTTATATTTTCTAGATAAGTCTTTTTTGGCTTTGTGGTATTCATATATTTTTCTCTCTTTGTTATTTGTCTCTTCATGTCTTAACAGAGTTATTTGTAGATTAGAAGTTTTAAATTTTAATGAGGTCCAATTTATTGCTTTTTCCTTTTATGGATCATGCATTTGGGTTCATATCTAAGAACTCTTAGACTAGATCTCTTTTCCCCTCTCTTCCCTCCACTCCGAAATTTTATACTTTATATTTTACATTAATTTTGTGATTAATTTTTGCATAAGACATAATGTTTGGCTGGGGTACATTATTTTGCCTATGGATGTCCCATTGCTCTGGCACCATTTGTTGAAAGGCCATTCTTCCATTTAATTGCTTTTCACCTTTGTCAAAGATCAGTTGGTCATATTTGTGTGAGTCTGTTTCTGGGTTCTCTATTCTGCTCTACTAATCTGTGAGTCTACTCTCTGCCAGTCCCACATGGTCTTGATTACGGAAGCTATTTAGTAAGCCTCAGCAATGTGTAGAATGATTCTTCCCATCTTATTTTTCTAAACAATTGTTTTAGCTATTCCATATCCTCTTCCTTTTCATATAAAATATAGAATAAACATACTTATGTCTATGCTGGGATTTTGATAGTAATCACACTAATCTTATAGAACAATTCGGGGTACTTGACATTTTTCCTGTGTCCAGTCTTCTAATCCATAGATAGTCCCTCCAATTATTTAGATCTTCTTTGTTTGCTTTTATAACATTTTGTAATTTTTAGGATGCAGATCCTGGATATGTACTATTCGATTTATATCCAAGTATTTCATTTTCTTTGGAGCAATCGCAGGTCATATTGTGTTTAATTTCAGTTTCCACATGTTTGTTGTTAATATATAGGAATACTGTTGATTTTTGTGGCCTGTCTAAACTCATGTCTTTAGGAGTTTTTGGTAGATTCATTGGGATTTTCTATGTAAACAATCATGCCGTATTCAAATAGGGACACTTTTATTTATACCTTTCCGAACTGTATGTGTTTTACATTTGGGGTTTTTGTTTGTCTGTTTGGTTTTTGTTTTGTTCTTATTGTGCTGACTGAAATTCCAGTAGTACATTGAATAGGAGTGAGAGTGAACATCTTTTGTTGTTGTTTCTAACCTTAGGGGGAAAGCATTCAGAATTTCATAATTAAGTGTGATACTGTCTATAGATTTGTTGTAGGGGCGCCTATGTGGCTCAGTTGATTGAGCATCCGACTCTTGATTTTGGCTCAGGTCATGATCTTGGGATCCTGGAGTTGAGCCCCATTGCGATGGGGCTCTGCGCTCAGCAGGGAATCTGCCTGGGATTCTCCCTCTCTTGCTCTCCCTCTCTCCCTCCCACTGCCCCTCTCCCCGCTCATGTTCCCTCTCTCTCTCAAATAAATAAAAATCTTAAAAAAAAATTAAAGATTTGTTGTAGATGCTCTTTATCAAGTTCAGGAAACTCCCCTCTATTCCAAGGTTGCTAATAGTTTTTTGTTTTTTTTATCATGAATGGATATTGATATTGTCAAAAGTTTATTTTTCTGCATCAATTTCTATGATCATGATTTTTTTTTCTTTATCTGGTTAGGAATCTAGTGATTCCTTTACTGATTTGGGGGGCATGGGGGTCAAATTATATCAAGAAGGGAGTCACAATCTCCAGGAATGTGAAAATGTCTATTTTCCCCCCTTAATTATGTAAATTTTTGCTTTATATATTATGAAGTCTATTGATTAGGCATATACATGTTAATGTTGTTAAGTCTTTAAGACAGACTACCCTTTTATCTTTATGAAACGTCCTTCTTTATCTTCAGTAATCTCTATCTTTGAGTCTATTTTATTTGGTATAAATATTGCCACATCAGCTTCTTTACACTTACATTTACATGGCATATCTTCTTCCATCTGCTTTAAAAAAATTTTTTTTAAATATTTTATTTATTTATTTGACAGAGAGAGGGAGACAGTAAGAGAGGGAACACAAGGGAGGGGAGGGGGAGAGGGAGAAGCAGGCTTCCCACTGAGCAGGGAGCCCGATGTGGGGCTCGATCCCAGGACCCTGGGATCACAACCCGAGCTGAAGGCAGACACTTAACGACTGAGCCACCCAGGCGCCCCTTCCAACTACTTTTAATCTATTATTTTCTTTAGAATTAAAATGTATCCTCAATAGAGAGCATTTAATTGCCACATGGTGTTCAATACATTTTGGTAACCTTAAAGTGTATCCTTTGTAGATAGCAGATAGTAGCAGTTTGCTATTATATTCCTTCTGGTAATCTGTGCCTTTTAATTTGAATATTTAGTCCATTATCAAATAATGTAACTATTGATATAGTTAAACTTAAGTCTACTAATTTATTGTTTTCTGTTTTCTCTGTTTATTTTTGTTTGTTCTCATTTTTTGCCCTTTTTTTGGTAAAATTTTATTTCATTTCTGTTTATCTTTTGGCTATACATCCTTGTAATGTTTTTTTTTTTTAGTAGATGCTTTAGTGATTACACCGTACATCTATAACTTATAACTCTTCACTCAATTCTTAGTTATTTTTTTGCAACTTAACATACAATACAGATAACTCACATTTCTATATTGCTATTTACCCTCTCCTCTATCATCCTTTGTGTATAAACCTTGCAAAACAATTTTTCTTTGAACACATATGTATTGAGAGCCCATTAAGAGTTAAAATAGTATTTTATATCTTATTTCCAATGTTCTTCATTTGTTTCTGAAAATTTGGGTTATCCCATGGTATTTCTATTTAGTCTGAATAACTTTCTTAAGCATTTTCTGTAATGTGGGGTCTGGTTGTGACAAATACTCTTAGTTTTTCTCTATCTATAAAATCCTTACTTTATCATAATTCCTGAAGCATACTTTTTCTGGATATAGACTTCTAAGATGACTTTGTTTTCTTCTCCTTTCAGAACTTTAAATGTTTTTTCATTGTCTTCTGTCTAGTATTGGCATCTGATGAGAAGTTTACAGTCCTTTAAGTTACAGAACATGTCATTTTATCTTTAATTTTGAGCAGTTTTACTATGTGCCTAGGTATCATTTTCCTCAAATTTATTCTGTTTATGGCTCTCTGAGATTCTTGACTTTGTAAACTTATGTCTTTCACTAATTTAGGAAGGTTTTATTCATTATTTCTTAAAATTTTCTGCAGCATTCTCTTTACCCCTTCTGAGACTCCACTTAAACCCTAGAATCAAATAAACAAAGTGCATACAGTATGGTGTGTTTCTTCACCATCTATCCTGTGATATAATGAAGTCATGAAGTTCCATCTTAGTTTCCATGAACTATAGCAAACTATAGTAATGAGGTATGAAAACAACTATACTGTTCTTGTGAAATTGAGCTGATTTATGACATTAGGTATTAGGAAGCAAATACAAAATGTCTGTTTTGAGGTGCTTGTTTAGAGATAAAGGAAAATAATCAGGCAGCTAAGATGCATGTCATTTAGAGAGAGATTCAGTCTTTATTTTTCCTGCAATACAGCAAAATGGCAGAATATCTTATCAGTTAAGATAGAATGCTTATATTTTAAATTTGTAAGTTAAAAGACCAAGTATAATGTTAACACTATTGAACTCTGTCTGCAGCACATCATGAAGTGTCCAAAAGAAGTCACCTAGGAAATTAGATGTCAGAAGCAAAACTTAATAATGTTCTTGACCATTAAAATTTGTTTATTACTATTTTCCTTTAATGTGTATATAGCGTAAGGTGATAAGTTATGTGTAAATAGTTTATATGATTATATTTTTGGAGTGCAATACAGAAATTGCATTCAGGGGTGCCTGGGTGGCTCAGTCGGTTAAGCGTAGGCCTTGAGCTGAGGTCATGATCCCAGGGTCCTGGGATCAAGCCCTAAATCGGGCTCTCTGCTCAGTGGGGAGCCTGCTTCTCTCTCTCTCTCTCTCTGCCTGCCACTCCCCCTGCTTGTGCTCACTCTCTGTCTCTGTCAAATAAATAAAATCTTAAAAAAAATTGCACATCAAGAATGACAAGAATAGAAGTAGAGTGAAATACATTGAATTAGGAACTTGAGACTTTAATGAATGAGGAGTGACCCACAGTTTTGACAGCACCCAGAAGGTGGTGACTTTTGGTATGAACTTTAAAAGAGTTGTTATTTTTGAAAGAACCAAGGGAGAGTAAGAACTCCTAGCAGATCTTCAAGCCCTGAGAATATGTGGGGACATGGGAAATAAAAAAGCTTGCAGGTGAGCAGGGTCCTCTGAGGAAACCAGTTAAGGCAAAGAAGTCATGCAAGCATTCAGAGAAGTGGCTGAGGGTTAAAGAATTGTTAATCATAAATGTAGAAGGTTTATGATCAGTGAAAGAGTCTCAGAGAGAGAGGAGTTCAAGATTAGATTAATGGTTCTAATGTAGTGGGAAGAATTTGATTTCTCCCCAGCCACTTTCTTGTTGGCAGTGCCTCAACTCTTCAGTGTTCATCCTCCTTCATGTATTCAGTAAGGGTTACATTCCTTCCAGCCCAGGAGTATCTTGATTGGTCCATAATCCATTCATTATAACTCTTCCCTCCGGCAATGATTCATTTAAAAAGAGGTATATAATCTATTATGTCCAATGAAATGAAAGGAAAATGTAGCTGTGATCTTCTACTATGTTTTCCTCTGTTAAAAGAAATACTGAAGAGGAAACAGATGTTCTTGTCTGTACTTGTTTCTTCTTAGCATTACAGTGTGAATATATGATGCCTGGAACTGTACCCACCTTGGGACCAGAAGGAGAAATTTAGAAATGAACTAAAGGATGTTACACACTGCTGCTTTTTTTTTTTTTTTTTTGCTTCTGTATTCCATTTCAGTGGGTTCTTTATTTTTTTAGAGAGAGAGCGCACACATATGTGTGTGTACGTGGGGTGGGAGGAGGGGCAGAGGAAAAAGGAGAAAGAGAATCTTAAGCAGGCTCAATGACCAGCAGGGAGCCTGACATGGGGCTCAATCTCACAACCCTGAGATCATGACCTGAACCCAAATCAAGAGTTGGATGCTTAATGGATTGAGCCACCCAAGCACCCTTCAGTGGCTTCTTTAAAAGATGGATGACAAAAGCTCATGGTTAATCCTCCATCTTAATTTAAGGAATACTTTTTTTTCCTTAATTATAAGAATGTTATCTGTTCATTGTAGAAAATAAAATGATAATTATATAAAGTAGAAATTAAATATCTCAAGTCCTACTGTTTTAATGCATACAAAATAACTTCTGTCTATAAACACTATAATACTTTTTTAAAACAAATATTCTAAGATATTAAATATCCATAACCTGTAGATTTCATTTAATGATATAGAAAGGGAAAGCTTCACAGGAAAAGATGCTGGAGGAGTCCTCATGGATGATGAGTAGCTTGCAGGTGGGAAACGAGAATGGAAGAAGTGGTGACAGGGAGACTCATGTAGATGGGACAGTATTTATGTCTCAGAGAAGACCTTGTGCAAAGGTAATAGGTCACTGCAGGAGGAAAAGGAGTCTACCAAATGCCGTAGGGTGGAGAATTTTATACAGAGAGTAATGGGAAATGAAAATGAAAAGGTGGAAGGGTGGGTCAGATGAAAAAGGGCCCAATATGCCATGTTTGAATGTGAACTTCATAAAAATGCACAGTATAGGGAACCTTACAAGAAGTTCAGGCAATTGAATAATATCAGATGAATGATTTCAAATTATCACTATTTCTCAAGGTCAGACAACTATGACTTTCATATTTTAGTTCAATCATTTAATGACTGAAATTATGAACAAATTTTTTAACTATTCTCTCAGTTTCCTTATTTGCAAAATGAGGACAATGGGAGAAAGATTGTGAAGACTCAGTGAGACAACCCAGGTGAAAGTGCCTGGTCACATGCCTGGCATATAGTAAGTTTTTGGTAAATGCCAATTTTCCTTTACTGCCTGTCTTGTTTTGGTTGTGTCATGGTTGGATAAAAACACCAATTTACAAAAGTATTATTATCTGAAGGGATGGTGGGGTGGAGAAAGGTGAGAAAATATTTTTAAAATATTATTTACCCTCATGTAAAATGAATCTTTAGAAAAACTATTTTTGTGAGGACACTTAAATGCTACAACCCGTTTATACTCAGAACCAAAGAACATTGCCCAAATTCAAGTCAACAAAACCGTTGTATAATTTCTAGATAACAGGCAGGAACTGAGCAGTAGGCAATATAAAAATAAAAATGCATGGACTTTTGACTTCAATGAGATCAATAAGCAACTGAATAAATATGACAAGACAACAGTGGAAATATATGTTAGACTGCTTAACTGGTCTCTGGCAAACATTATGAACTGCCCCCACACCGCCCAAAATATCCTCCCTTACTAATGATCACCAAGAAGGAGCACTATTGGCATAGAGGCCTGACATTCTTCCAAGGTGTCTTCTCATACCTGCTGATTGCATGTGTTTTTACCATGGTATATGTTCTTTTCTGGGGGAGCATAATGTGAATAGTATAGTTACACACAAATAAATTTTAAATTGGCATCCCTAGAAATTGGTATTACTAGCTGTTTTTTTTTTTTTATCATTGATGTAGAAATGACAATACCTAAAGTATGGGTGATGTATCTAGAATAGTTCTTAGGCATATTGTCTGAATATAGTCTTTAACTCCCACTTGTATCTTACTTTCATTGTAGTTCTTTTACAAAGCTCCCTCATCTGGCAGGAACAGAACAAAATTTACTTCTTGCCAAGAAAATCCAAACCCAGTGGAAGAAATTTGGACTGGATTCAGCCAAGCTGGTTCATTATGATGTTCTCCTATCCTACCCTAATGAGACAAATGCCAACTATATATCAATCATGGATAAACATGGAATTGAGGTGATGTGGAATTGTTGGTACTTTTTGTATTTTATAACCTCAGTTGTTTATGTGAATTGGGATGTAGGGTCAAGTAAGAATAGAAATTGTTTAATAGTGCAGTGCAACTCATATTTTTTAGAAAAGTTGATAAGTTGTAAACTAATTATTCAGTGTCTACTGTGTGTTAGGCACAGTGCTTAGTCTTAAAGCCAGAATGAAGCTTAGGAACAGGATTCATTTTGCTTTAAGTAAGGCAAGGCAGATGTTGGAACACGTCATTTTAAATCAGTATGGTGAGTGTTATAAAGAGTATGTTTCGGGTTCTTTATACAAAAAAGGTTCACTTAGTCTAGCCTGGGACTTAGGGAAGGTTTCCTGAAAGAAAACCTTTCTGATATGTGAGTCATGGAGTGATGCTAAGGAGTTAACCTCATGAGAAAACAAAGTAAAAGAATCCAGGTAGAAGAGAAAATACTGGCAAAGGTTTGGAGACCCATAACTAGCTTAGTATTATTGGGGAACTTAAAAATTTTCTGTGTTTCAAAAATGTCAAGTACAAAGTGGGCCACAAAAAGAGATAAGCCTGTATATATGTTTTGGGGACAGGTCATAGAACAGCTTATATGTCCTAAGGGGCTTAGAATTCAACTTCAGTCAATGGAAACCATTGACAAGTCCTAAGCAATGGAAGGATGTGGCTAGAGAGGCATTTTTTAGATAGTTTGGGCCATCTACAGGTTAGACCTTGACTCGGCAAGGAGTGCAAGTTGGAGTCTTACAAGAATAGTCCAGGTAAAAGATGATGAAGCCCTGAATCAGGATGTTAGTAGGAATGAGGAAGAGGGATGGTCTAAGAAATAGTTAGGAAGCAATATTAGTGGCAGTTGATTAGTGATTGACTGGAGTAAGGTGGTGAAGACAGAGATGAGGATGACTCCTAGGTGTCTGGTGTGGGTGGCTGGCTAGTGATGCTGCTAGTAATAGCAAGGAATGCTGAACAAGAAGCAGGCCTGGGGTGAGGGATGAGAAATTCAAAGTAGGACATGTTGAGTTTGGACATCCAAGCTGAAATAACCACCAGGCCCTTAAATATACATGTCTGGAAAGGTGGCCCTTATAAGCATATGGGCTATGGATAAAATTTTGGGAGTCAATGAAATCTGACAGGAAGGGAGTATAAAATGAGGCAGACAGTAGACTGGGGATAAAATACAGGAAACATTTAAATGCATTTGAAAAAAAAGGAGTCCAACAAAGGAAGTTGAAAAGAAATCATTGGAAAAGGAGGAGGAGAATCATGGGGTGCCACCTTCAAAGCCCTGTTTTTATATGGGAGCTTCTAGTCACCTCAAATTGCATGCATTTTGTAGAAGTTGCTACTATTTTGAAGGCAGTAAGAACGATAAAGCTCTTCCTCATTGTTGCCAGTGGAATTTACCTGATTAGTTACTGAACCTAGTTTCAGAATGCTTAATTGTAAGTGTATACTTGGGGGGCATTATTCTTTAATAACAATCAGGAATACTCTCCAACTTATGTATTTCAATTCTTCCTAGATTTTCAATACCTCCTACCTTGAGCCACCACCAGATGGATATGAGAATGTTACAAATATTGTTCCACCATATAATGCTTTCTCAGCCCAAGGCATGCCAGAGGTAAAACAAGACTTTTTTTACTCAACTCTTTGAACTTTCCTTTGTTATTTAAAGCCTATATAAAGGACTAAAACCAAGGAGATTAGGTAAACCATACATGCTGATCCATACTTTGAGATTCAGTGTGATGAACACCCTTTCTAAAAATAATTTAAGAAAAAGAAAAAAATAGAAATATGTAAAAATCATAGCCTGGTGAAGCAGATGCCACTCTGAAATAACAAAGAACCTGCTGAACACATCTTTAATTCAGTAACGTCAGTAGATGTCTTTACAAGCTCTTTTCCTTTGTTCATAGTCTGATTTTTGTTATAGATTTATAGATCATGCCACAGAAGTGGTATTTAATTAATTACTTAATTAATTCTATGCTTGAAAATTAAACCTGGTTTGGATTTCTTTTTTCTTTTAAAAAATCTCCTTTGTTTCACCTATTCCCCACCTTTCTCCCCTCTGGCAACCCTCCGTTTCTTATCTGTATTTTAAAGTCTGTTTGTTCATTTTTGTTTAGATTCTGCATGTAAGTAAAATCATATGGTATTTGTCTTTGTCTGACTTATATCTCTTAGCATAATACACTTTAGGTCTATCCATGTTGTTGCAAATAGCAAGATCTCATTTTTTTTTATGTCTGAGTATGTGTACACACACACACACACACACACACACACTCTCACACACCCCACTTCTTCCTTATCCATTCATCCATCAATGGACACTTGGGTGAATAATGATGCAGTAAACATAAGGGTGCCTATATTTTTCTTAATTAGTGTTTTTGCTTTCTGTGGGTAAGTACCCAGTAGTAGAATTAGTGGATCATATGGTATTTCTATTTTTAATTTTTTGAGGAACTTCCATACTGTTATCCACAGTGGTTGCACCAATTTACATTCCCACCAACAGTATGTAAGGATTTTTTTTTCTCTACATCTTTGCCAATACCTGTTATTTCTTGTCTCTTTGATGCTAGCCGTTCTGACCCATGTGAAGTGATATCTCACTGTGGTTTTGATTTGCATTTCCCTGATGATTGGTTATGTTGAGAATGTTTTTATGTGTCTGTTGCCCATCTGTATATGTTCTTTGGAAAATTGTCTATTTGGGTCTTTTGCCCAATTTTAAATTTTATTTTATTTTGTTATGTTAATCACCATACATTACATCATTAGTTTTTGATGTAGTGTTCCATGATTCATGTTTGCGTATAACACCCAGTGCTCCATGCAGTATGTGCCCTCTTTAATACCCATCACCAGGCTAACCCATCCCCCGGCTAACCCATCCCCCTCCCCCCTCCCCTCTAGAACCCTCAGTTTGTTT